CTCAGTTCCATCCATTTATTGGAAAATGCCATAATTTCATTCTTCATATGACTGAGTAATATTCCATGTGTATATTTTCCACATTTTCTTTATCCATTCATCTGTTGAAGGGCACCTAGGTTGTTCCATAGCTTACCTATTGTGAATTGAGCTGCTATAAACATTGATGTTGTTGCATCAGTGTAGTATGCTGATTTTAAGTCCTTTGGATATATGCCATTGAGTGGGATAATGGGGTCAAATGGTGGTTCCATTCCAAATTTTCTGAGCTATCTCCATACTGATGATTCCCATCTTGGCAAACAGTATCTGATCTTCATTCCCCACCCCCACCCCCACCCATGTTGAAGAGTAAACACCTGAGAAACAACAAGGCAAGCATAGAAAACAAGTTTTATTTAAGAGACAAAAGATAGATAGTAGAATTCTCTAGAGAGGAGCAGGACCTAGAGCCCATAAGAGTGGGTATATCTTCCTTTTTTTTTTTTTTTTTTTTAGTAGACTTCTACCTCACTTTCTTTCCTTTGTATGCCTAAAGAAGGAAAGAGTGTTGAAAAGTGCAAATCTTTCCCCTACTTCAGGTGTTAGCAGCTGGAGTGAGGTGGGGAGTGCAATCCAGAGGTTAGCTCTTAGCAACCCATTTCTTTTTCTTTGATAATCAGTTACCTGTACTTTGTTCCTTGGATTCTATTGATTGTATACTGGAATTCCCCAAATTTGGTTCCCACATTCTCTGTTTGTCTGTATATGTATAATAGATGAAATGTTCCAATATAGACCCTCTGGTTAATTGCAGATTGGATTGCACACTTTCAGTATTTTCTTTCTCTCTTTTTCTCTTTTTTCTTCATATTGTCCACCCTTCTTTCATCCAAGTTTTAAAGATTATACAAATGATTGTTTTCTAGTCTCACTTTCTGGAAGTCTTATATGGAGACTTTAGTATCATTCGGGAAGTTTGGAAAAAGTCATTGAGTTATTGTGTTGACAAAAGTTTTAAGAAGATTCCTGAGAATATTAGTTGTTCATTCATCATTTACTGAATATCAATTTTAGGGTGTTCTTGTACAAAACCCAGGCACACAGAAGACTTTTACACTTGAGCCTTCCTACTGAGAAGTTTACAACCTAAACTGATCAGCTTTCAATTCATCCTGCCAATATAAAGCTGTGGGTGCATTGTGTATTATCTCCCCAACCCCATTTTAGCAATTAAATATTTTAAATGTATGTCTCTGTGGGCAGGGCAAGGGGATAAACATATGAGTTAGTCTGACACTGAATTCTGAATGCTTTTCCCTTTCAATTAGTTTGTCTTGACTAATAGGAAAGTTTCTGTCTCAATAATGCTTTGCGCTTCACAACAACAACCTGTAAAGATTTGATTACTTCATAGTGAAGGATTGCTGGTTGTTTGGATTATGGATGCTTTTTTATGTTATTTTTTCTCATTTTAAAAAGAATATTCATGCACTGCCCTTTTAATAAAAAAGAAACTCTTTATTCCAAAAAAAGTTTAAAAAATTATACCCAATTGAATTTAAGAGCTTCAAAAGTTAAAATGAAACATGAAAAGTGAAATAATTATTATCTTACTTGCTTGTTTTACATAATGGCAAGGATGTAGTTGTGGCTTTGAAGAATTTAGAACTTAATTTCTTACAGTGAACAGCATTTTTTTGCCTCTGGAATAATGGTGGAAAGCTATGTAACTGTAGTAAAACTCTCAACCCTCATGAAACAATGTTTCTTTTGTTATTCTATTGGCACAACAACGCTGGGGTTTTTGTTTTGTGTGACCATATTCAAGAATCTGGAAGCTCTCCTGCAGCTTTGCTCTCCTGTCAATTGGAGACTGTTTTCATATCAACAGAGCAATGAATCACTGAAGTCACACACACAAAAATAATACTCATTTCTTATGTTTTCATGTGGATCAGAATATTTCATCCTCCTGAAGTTTTTATGAGATATTATCACTATATTTATGTGAATAAGTTTAGAATTCCTCTCATAGTTTTTTTTTATTTTAAAAAAGTTGATATTGAGTAAGACAGTGGAAGGTCTTGCTTAGATAGGTAGGAGAATTTAACTTAATTTTGAAGGAAATGGGAGGTTATCAAATTTTCCTGAATAGGAGAATGGTAGTATTGGGACTACTTTGCGAAGGATTGATGCATGATGATGTATTCTATGTGTTAGGGTGAGAATGCTGAAGTAGGCAGCTAGCATGGAAACTCAACAGCAGAGATGTGAAGTCCTAAGACACACTAGGAGGTGTCAGTGGTGGTGTTAGTACTGTTAGTAGAGAGGAGGGAGCAGTTGAGAGAGGTGGAACTAAAGAATTGACTACTGCAAGATGTTGGGAACCCTGGAATGTAAACTCCTGGAAAGCAGAAAACCTGCCTGTGTTTTATCTTTTGCACATTCCTTGCACATAGAATGACGCCTCGTACATATAGGCACTCCATAGGTGTTAGCTGAATAAATTAAGACAAAAGCACGTAAATGCAATGGGTGCTATGGGCAAAGGCAGAAAGGAAAGCTGCCTAGCAGAGGAGGTACTTGAATTATGTCCAGTGGATTTAGCTAGTTTCAGGAGGGCCCTGACGAGAAAATGAAGACAGAGAGATGAGCCCGGGCTTTGAGGCATGAAAAAGCAAGATATGGGAACAACCACTAGCAATTTGCAATTTCTGAATGATACCCCACCAGGTTGAAATGAGTACAAAGTATGCTGGACTTGAAGAGCCTGAACTTCAGGATAAGAACTTTTGACTTATTGCAGGTGTTAAAATAATTGGGTAACATGAGTTTTGTTTTTTTTTTAAACTATAGCAATTGAGCTAGTGGGAATGAGTGGAAAGCTTACCAGGAGCTCCTCTACATTTAGAGCAAAATATTTGAGAACAGAGTCAAAATTGGAGGCTGTTGCAACAGTCCATAAACCAGGAGATGAAGGCCTGGATGAGGGAGGTGATGACAGGGAGAGGTCGTGGCAGTTTTGAGAATATATAAGTTAGAAAACAAATGATATGTCACAAATTAAAGGTAGGAGAGGGCGAAGCAGAATGAATCTCAGGGTGCCAGTTAGCCCAAAGGTAGTGCAGCATGAGGAGCAACGGAAAGAGAGAGAGGGAGGAAATTAGGAGAAAAAAGACATGGATTACATTTTGTGTGCATTGACTTTGAATGTCAGGTGCATGAACAGGTGGGTTGGTTGTAGAGTGACCCAGGACAGAGGGGTAGTTTTTGGAGTTGTTTGGGCCAAAGTTAAGCCACAGAGATGGGCAATATTTTAGTGAGTGTGTTTTGAGAAGAACAAGATGTTGGCTGAAGATGACCCTGGGGAATACTCACACGTGAGAGTGAAGAGGAGGGAGACAACTCAGAAGAGGAGACTGATGCTGAATGGTCTGGGTATCGCGGGGTTGAACTAGAAGAGGATTTGTATCACCTGAAGAGGTTTGATTCATGATGGGGTTAGGAGTGGGACAGAGAAGTGGCATTTCAATGAAGAAAAATTAGACTAACATGTCAATTCAGCTTTAAGGGAGAGGAACACTTTATACTGATCATTAGATTTGAGAGATGAAAGGTAACATTCCTGTGAACTATTTTAATGAAGCGGTCCAACAAGATGGCAGATTTGAGTGGGTTCATCACTAATCTATTGGTAACCAAGTGATGATTATGACATTATTTCCTTAAATGCTTAATTGTTAAAGGGAAGAAGAAAGACAGTGACAATTAAAGTGAAAGTTGAGATTAGGATAATGTTATTTTGTAATGTTTGCCTATTTTGAAATGATGGGAGCAACATGAACATGGTGTCCAAATCTTTTCACCAGTCTGACTGAGATCCCCTGTGCTCAAAGCCTTATGTTCCTATGAATGTATAACATGTTCTGAAATTATTTCAAACATCTCAAATTCAGTATTCTACCATCTACTGCAAATAAAATCTTCCTGTATTCCATGTCATCTTCCAATAAATCAAACTAGATGCCTATAATTCATCCTTCACTGACCACTTCAAATGAAAGACCACTTCTTATACAACTTGAGTATATATACACATCTTCAATTCCCTGATACATAATAATCCTCTCTTAATGAGACTCCATCCTCCACCTTGTAACAGAGTGATCTTTCAAAGATGGGACTTTAAGCCACTCCCACCTGTAACCTTTCTGCCAGACAGTTGAATGGCAACCTGATGACCACAAGATAGAGAGACCTAAGCTCCTCAGCGAGGCCCTCCAACCTTTAGCATTCATTTATGATCTAGTCTGTACATGTCAGGGAGGACTCCTCTCCAGTAATACCTAATGACCACTGTTCCTGAGCACATCTTCTTGTCACCTTCTGCAATAGCTTCTGCTTTTCCTCTTTCTCTAGAACACCTTTCTGTACTTTCTTTGATTAGCTAATGCCTACTTATCTTTCACAGCTTCACCTAAACCCTTTATTCTTTATTTTACTTTATTCTAAACCCTCCCTTCACCCCAGGGGCAGCTAAGTGCCATTTTGCTGTTGTCATGCCCTTCTGCACATTATAGTCATAGAATCCCCACACTATACTGATAATGTCTATACGTAACTGTCTCTCCCTGGAATTTGTGTTCCTTAAGGTCAGGAATTATTTTTTGCTGCTTATTGTGCATCTGGGTTAAGCATATCACTGGGCACATGATAATTGCAAAAATCCTAATTCAATTGCACTGAGCAGTAGAATGGGGAAGGTGAAGATGTTTAGGAGAGAAGGAGAGCTCATGTGAATAGGTTTGAGAAGAAGTGGCAGAGGATGGAACAAGGATGATATATTATGGGTTAAACTTGGAATAGAAGTGATACTTTAGCCATGTGCCTATTAGGAAGGAGAAGTAAGATAAAGCCCAATGGAAGTGCTAAGAATGAAGGCAGTTTCAGATTAGAGACTTTATGTTCTTTATTGATACTGATTGTACAGAATGGGTATTTGATGAAGATGACAGCAGTGAAGAAAATACGTGACACATATTTGCTGGGAAAATAAAAGCACATCTTAAATACAAAGACCCTTGAAACATTTTATTCCAAAATGTGACATCTTCTATTGACTCATTTATATACTTGAAATTCTTTTCCGAGGAAAAGTTTTTGAAACCTTTGTCCCATTGTCTCTGCATGTCTGTGCAAATGGTTGTGCCTGAAGATCTTTGCTTTTCTGCCAGGCTGCAGAGTTTCCACAAGGACTGGGATGGGTCATTGTGATATTGCTACTAGTGGAGTCCAGTGAAGCATGACTCATGGCAAGGTTCCCAGCACTGTGAGAAGAATAACTGTAAATCAACTCAAGAAAGGCTGATTTTGTGTTAGTCTCTTGCTTGCAAAGAATAACATAACATTTGGGGAAGAATGTACAACATAGGATCCCATAGTTGGATATTAAAATGACGATGATCTCTACAGCTGGCAAATACTTGCCAGACGTGGTAGCATAGACAGGGATGAATGTGATCCAAGCTATGAAGTAAATAAGCATGCCGAATGTTATGAATTTGGCTTCATTGTAATTCTCAGGTAATTTCCTGCCTTTGAAGGCAAATATGAAACAAATGAAGGCCAGGATGGCAATATAACCCAGCATGGTGCCAAATGCAAGTGTGGATCCCTCCTCACATTCCAGGATAATGACTCTGGGCAAGGACACATTCTCCTCCACAGTAGGTGCTGCAAAGATGAGCCAGAGTGTACAAATGATAACCTGAATACCTGTGCAAGTGAAAATGATGGGGATAGGTTTATAGAGGAACTTCAAGAAGTTCTGCAAGTTGGGATCAAAGCTGAAAGCTAGCAAAATTTTCAGAGACTTCATCAAAATGCAGGAGATGCAGAGGGTAAAGCTCACTCCAAATAGCGTCTGTCTGGTTTTGCATGTGAAGTCTTGAGGCTCTCCGATGAAAAAGCCCGTGCTGGCAAAGTTGAGAAAATGACAAAGCAGGATCACATAGCAGACCACTAATCCCCCGGATGATTTCACAACAGGCGTGTTCAGGTTTCTTGTAAATATTATGCCAATGGCCAAAACAAATATGATTCCCAGGAGGGAGAGGGCCACCAGCAGAAGAGCCAGGGAGTCATTCCAGTTGAGATATTCCACTTCCTTTTCCAAGCACATAGCGCTCCTAACAGGGGCCCAGTGAGTTTCGTTGTTGCATAATACGCAGTGATCCATATCTAAAAGGCAGAGGAGATTCAGTTACACTGCAAACAATTAAACTAGGTGATTATCCACAACTGTCGATGGTGATTGTCCACAGAACCAGTCCTGACTAGAAAACCCAAACAGGTAACTGTCATATTAGTTCTTTAGTAAAATAAAACACACAGAGAAAGAGTAAAGGTGAGGCAAGGGGAAAAGGAAAAAAAAAAGAGAAAGTTATCAGAGATATGAGTTTTTAGGAAATTTATATTTCAGGATAGATGCTAGCATTATATGATATTATTGGAGGCAGTTCAGGGACCTTATTAAGAATAAAGGGTTTGAAATCAGACATAGCTCAAGTCCCTTTCATCTCTCTACCACCTATAATTCCTTGAACAAGCTAACTGAATTTCCTGAGCCTATTTTAAAATCTCTCTTTCTCTCTCAAAAAAAAAAAAAAGACTCTGCCCATTGTGGTACCACATTCAGAGCATTTGTTGCACAAATTAGACTCCATGCTGGGCTATAACAGGTGGGAATGCTGTTATAAATAAGAATGCAGATCCTTCAAAAGCTGAGGCTTTATGGCTGAGTTACCCAAAAGCCTGAAGCTTCTTCCTCAAAGTGAGATAGCATGAGATTATAATCAACAACAGATGAGGAAGAATTGAAGTTTATCCCCAACCCCGGAGATTAATTAATTTGAGCCTCTCACATTGTCAGTGATGAACTTGAACAGTATTTATGTTGATTCTGACAGCAGGGCAACACGAATAATTAATAATTGATGTCAGATGGAGTCTGTGGGAATGGGCTCGCATTTGCTCTCCATTACCACAACATTAAGATGATGGGTTCCAACTGCTTCCAAAAAGCTTTTCCCCAGAGCATCCATCTGGTTACACGCCACAAAAGTAGAAAGTGCCCAGTGTTTTAAACTTTATGTTTTCTTTTCTATATTAACCTTAAAGTGTTTTTGTTTATAAACTTCCTGACCTTTCTAACCTCCTGCTCTTTAAAAATTCTATTTTATTACAAACATACTCTTTGGTTTCTTCTTAACCACAGCTAGTAGAGCCTGCCCTTTCATTTGTTCAGGGAAAGGTCTTGTCCATGCATGAGAGCTGTGTGTTAGAGATGAAGAGACGATGTCCTTTCAGACTACTCTAATTCCATGCTTTTCCTCCAAAATGTCCTCAGTCTTCTACACTTGTGTTTAGAAGCAACTTGCCTTGGTTATCAAAAGATAGCATCCAGATTGGACTTAGAAAGACTCCTGTACCTCTTTATGAGAAATAAACATTACTTTCTTTAAAAAGAAAAAAAAAATTCTTTCACTTGAAAAATAGCTCTGAGGTTGAGATAAATGGCATTTTTTAAGGCAATGACAGAACATAAATATTATAATATTTCTATTGGCATACTCCTCCCTTGAAGGTGATTAAAAAATGAATACATATCTGGGGACTATTCCAGCTCTGGGGTTCTTAGTTTTCATATATGACAATTAGGAATGCTTCAATTAACCAAAGGATGATTTTTTAAAAGAAAGTTTAATGCTGCCGAAAGTGCCGATAGTTCTTCTTAGGGCTCTTAAGGCTGCTGACTTCACTCTTGCATTTTAATAGGTGTATTCTGCTCTGATCCTGTCCAATTGATAAAAATAAGGTTGGCAAACAATCAGTGATTAGCACCTTATCTCTGTTAATAGTGGGCCCTCTTGTTTCTTAGATTCAACTTCTTTTCTCTTGGTAAGACTATTAAGATTTCCAGGCTATGCACAGCTGTTTCTAAACTCTAAGAGCCTTTGGGTTTCTATCATGTTCAATTTAATTAATCTAATATTTACTTATTTGTACTTTCTGTGCCCCATTTACAAATCAAGCATGTCTTGTATGAGGATGGGTACACAGACAAAAACTGACAGAGAACTTGCATTGTTTTAATAGTTATTGATAATGAAGTCTGAATGAGGAAATAATTCTTTACTTCTCTCTTAGAAGTAAAATTATTTTACAACTCTATTATTAGTCATATGCATCTGGTGATATAATAGAGCAAATTCCAAGATAAAATGAAATTTCACAGGAATTTAATCTAGCAGGAACATAGGAAGCTTTTTTTTTTTTAAATCTTTTCAAGTGAAGAAACAAACAAAAATAGAATTCATGTAAAGAAAAATCAGCTTAAGGGCAATAACTCAGATGTGTCACAGTGTGCAGTGACTGCTATTACCTGTCTGATTACTGTAGTGATTTTCAGGGCAGCTCACACATTCATAGCAGCAGATATGTTGACTTCTTGTAGTTTTCTTCATTTCTCCAGGACTGCATTCCTTGGAGCATTTAGATAATGTTTGCTACAATCAAAGTGAAAAGAAATCTCAAATATATTTTTGTAAAAGAATTAACCTTGGCTTAAAGATACATTTACTACAGAAAAATATTCATCTTTTTCATAGCATTAAGTAATTTCTTTTGCTATCTTCAGGTATTTGAACAAGCTTAAAATATATGAAATCCTTCAGATGGAGAAAGAACACAATTTTTGTCCTATTAGTAGTTTCTGTAAGCAAATTATGGAAATTGGCTCTTTCGGACAGTTTCCAAAGAGAGAGAAACACAGTAGTGAAACAGAGGTGAGAAGTCTTTTGTGATGAGAAAGAAAGCTGAAAACCCAGACCCTGCCCCTGCAGGTGCCACAGAGACTAAAACTGACACTATGATTGGGACAGCCTTTCTAAATCTACATATATGTATCTCCTGGCTTTTGTTTTTATAAACTGTAAAACCAGTCCTGCAGGACCTGAAGAGAAGCAATCTAGCTTCTTTTCCCCAGTTTGATCAAACTGCATAAAATCCATTTTTCCTTTTCACATTTTTTGCTTATTTATTAGGTCAGTTGGCAGCTGAATTGGCCCAGCCATAATCCAGCAGATTCCCTGGCTTGGCTATGGCAAACAGTGGTAGAACTGAAGCAAGAGATGATGGTCTGGAAATTTCCAGTCTCATGTTGAATAATTAGCTCTACTATATAAGAAAATAGTAAATTATTAGACTTTGATACTCTTTAGAAAATATTCTTATCATACTGTCCAAGGGTTATATATCCAGTCTCACTCTAAAAATGAAATAAAACAAGAAAAAATAAACCCAAACAATAGAATAAATATTCTATGCTTAAAGCTATTGTATGTTAGTTAAAAAGACAAGCTAAAGTAAATAAAGAATATTTAAATCATACTGATAATTTAGGTTATAATTCTGTATGTTGCAACATGAATCATAAGCAGCATTCTAGTCTTATGGAATCCTTTACTTCTGATTCAATCATTCTTTGCCCTTCAGATTATGATATAATTTTTCATTCAGAATCCTTTTCTCATAGCACATCTTATGACATACATATGTGTCATCATTTAACTTTTCCCTTAGCAAGTCAAGCAGAATGGTTAACTGAGGTTTTCTCAAGATTCTCTAAAGGGTTATTGCTGAGTCTGAAACACTGTCAGAATATTAAGCCAACCAGTCTTTTCTCTGGAAGGTGAATAAAATCTGGGACTGAGAGAAAAGTTGGCAAGATACAGTAGCCCAGTGTCTACCAGCACTGGCTTTCTTTTTCTCAATAAAATTATCCCAGGAGAGTTTTCATTAGTAAATAGATATGCCTTGAAGATTTCCCAGGACAAACTTTTTAATCTGAGCTGTCCACTCTCCTGGAGGATGCTCAGAGGAAACAAAGGAATTTAACTATTAGATAAGGCCAGGCGTCATTAAGGGGATAAAAGTGCCGTCTCCCTCCCTAGCAACATAGTCCTTTCTCTCCCTCCACATCAAGAGACAGCAAAGACATTGCAAAGTCTGATAGGATAGCTCTGGGATAATAGTAGATTTAGATTGTCTGATAATTTGAACTATGAATTTTGGTGAATTATCAGAAATTTTGATTCACCATCTAGCCTGGAAATTGACAAGTAGATCTTGAAACCTGACCAAATGATCTAAGGTACTGTTGGTTTTTGCTATGTCCTTGAGATATGGATGGGTGTCTTCATCAGCAAGGAAGGTGTGTCCCTCTTCTCACAGTGGTCAGCCCTTCAATTTAGTCACTAAAAGCCTCTCCCAGTTTCCTGCATTCTACCAGTTCCCCCTTAATGTGTATCTTGCTTATAGAATCTGGAAATAAGTCTTGGTGACAATCAAAATCAGTGCTTTTTGCAAAAATTGTTAGAGAATCCTCTTTATTCAATAAGAAAGTGAGTTATAATGTTTTTGAGGATTCTGTATGAGTTCCAGTGTTTAGCAGAGGTCTGGGTTCATGATGTAGCTGCAAGAATGACGGCCGTGATAATGAAGTTGACATTTGAACAGTAAAACAAGGGTTATATTTCTGACTTCCAAGGAAAAAGTATTTTGCGTCATTGAAACTTCTGGTCGTAGCAATTTGATTAAGGGAAAAGATTTATAGCATTATTCAACTAATTCTTTCATCTACTAAACCTTTGTTAAGTGCCTATTTTATGTCAGGAATTGTTCTAATTGTTGGAGCCACAGTATGGAATGAGACAGAAATCCCTTCTCTTATAGACTTTTGGTCCTAGTCAACAAGGACAATAAACAAGATTAAAAAAAAATAAGCAAAATGTACAGAATGAGACAGTGATAAGTGCTAAGGAGAAAAGGGAAGAGAGGATAGCCAGAAGCAGGAGGTTGGCATTGCGATTTCTTTTGTGGTACTGGGAACCAAACTGAGGATATGAGGATATATACATTCTGGGTGTGTGTTCTACTACTGAGCTATATCCCCAGCTCAGATGGTGCAATTTTAAATAGGGTGTCCAGGAAAGGCCATAATGAGAAGGTGACTTTTCAGAAAAGAGAAAGGAAGTGAAATAGTTAACCATATGGATGTCAGAGAAAATTATCAGAGGCAAAGGAAATAGCAAGTACAAAGCCCTTGTACTAGGAGAAGGAAACAGGGCAGGAGTTTTGTGGAACTGTACAAGGGGTCTAGACCAAAGGGAGTATAACAGGAGATGAGGTTGGGGAGGACTTGGGGCAGGGTCATGTAGTATTTTTAAAGAGACTAGCTTTTACCTTCAGAGAAATGCAATTCCATGAAAGTGTTCTAAGCAAAGTACTGTGTGTGCGTGTGTGTGTGTGTGTTTCTGGGAATCAAACTCAGGTCCTGTGCTGACTGGGCAAGTGCACTACTGCTGGGCCATATCCCCAAACCCGAAGCATTATCATTTACAGAATCACCATGTTTTAAAAACAGACTGAAGCAGGTCAGAGTGAAGACAGACAGCAGTGAGAAACTTTGCTACAAAAACCTGGGTGAGAAATGGTTGTAGCTTAGAGCAAGGTATCAGCAGCAATAGAATTAGGAGTCAAATGTGGTTATATTCTAGACACGTTCTGAAAATTAAACTTTCATTGGATATGGAGTGTGTCAGAAAGAGAGGTGACCAAGAGCCCAGCAACTTAATAAAAGAGAGTTGCCATTTACTGAGATGAGGTAGATTTGGAAAATAATATTAAGAGTTCTGTTTTAGAGATATTAAAGCTAAAATGAACAATAAAGATCCAGTTAAAGGTGTCAGTTAGGCAGTTGGGCATTTATTTGGGTCAAAAGTCAGAAAACTAAAATCTAGGAGTCATCAACCTTCTATATAATGACATTATTTTTGGCCACAAGCTAGTCAGATCACTAAGGAAAAGTATTAACAGAGAAGAGTAATTCTGAGCCCTGGTCATTCTAGTGTTGAGTAGGAAGGATGAGGAACCAGCAAAGGAGACTAAGAAGTAGTGGGCCAGAGACATAGAAGAAAACCAAGGAGTGGGATGTAAACTAGACAGAAACCATTTTGATGGATCAGAGATAGTTAAGCAAAAGAATGGGAGGAGAGAAATTTGGCCAGTGAATATATTAATCACTTCAAGGAATTTTGATGAAAGAGAAATCCAGGAATGGGTAGTGTGTACAGGAGAACATGGAAGGAATCTATAGAGTTTGTTTCTTTTTTTAATATGGGAGAAAACATAATGGCATATTTATATCATCATGGAAATAATACTGAGGAAAGAATAATTGAGGATGCAGGAGACAATATAAAATTACCAGAGCAAGATGTGGCAATAAGTGAAGGGGATGGGGCCTAGATATGAAATGAAGCATCTGGCTTCAGCTAGTAACCCTTGGTGCCACCATAATGCCAGGTAGAAGATGGGGATATGGGCACAGATGAGCTACAGGGGGATGTGGAGCACTTTTCCAATAGGCTCGGTTTTGTTGGTAGAATAGAAAGAAGGAATAATTGAAAATGAGAATGAAAAGGATCTATTGATGTCAGAGGAAAGAAGAAAAAGCAAAATAGCTATCCAGCAAATTAACCGGCAAGGCCACAGTGTGAATGCTGTCAGCAGTAAGGCTCTCTGGAGGTTGGATATCATGAATTTAAAGGTGAGACCTGTGAACAAATATGTCTTTTTTCCTTCTCTTTCTGCTTTCATTTTCTGTGCCAAGCTCAGTCGCATAGGAGCAATTCTGATTAGGCGGAATAGTTAATTTAAAAAAAAAAATGGTATTTTGATCCAATCAGTATAGGTAAGGAGATTGAGAGTATATACAAGAAAGTGTTACACTAGATGACCTCAGAATTTAAGGAGGGAATGAGGGGACAGTGAACAGAAAGGAGGATCATGAGAGGTCCTGGTGAGGTCAAGGGCTTTTCAGGTTGAGGTACCAATTGATTAGAATGCTACAAAGCAGTCTAAAGAAAAATTACCTTAAGATTCTTGAATTCATTTTTTGCTTCCTGGTTTGGGATGATGAAGACATCATTCTGTAGGTCGTATTCTGCCATCTTGGCGATGGTCATGTGGCCGTTGATCTCTTTCCAGAGCACAACATCATATCCAATATTCAAGTCCCCATGAGCGTCAAAATGAAAAGAATTCCCTCCATCAGTGAATATCACATTTTTCAGCACATTAAGTAGCTGTAAAAAATAAAAACAGAAACAAATGCTGAACATGAACATTGTAAGTAGACCCGTTATCCCAATTACAACACTGCATCATAAGGAGTATCACTTAAAAATGAGAAATAAAGAAGATTCCATATCACTGAGTAGGACATTCTTAACCATTTGGCAACAATTTAAGAATGAATTCCACTTGGTTTCTGGTCCCATCTCTGCCAAAGTTTTGCTATGTGGATTTGAAAAAAACAAGTTAGTTTCTATGGTGGTAGATACTGCAGCCTATAAAGTCGAAATCTGAGAATTTCAGAACAGATCGTCTGGAGCGGATGCATGGCCTCTAATTCTGGTTCTACTCCCCATTAGTGGCGAGATCTTGACAGTTGCAATTACTTTCTGACTTATCATTTCTAATTATTCTTAGGTTTGTGTCTAGTGTATAGTAAATAATCTCTAAATTCTATTTTAAAATTTAATTTATAAAATGATTTTTTTTTTTAACCAGAGAGGAAAGAAAAATTACTTGCCCTGCTATCCAATTTGTATAGTGAAAACTGATATATATCAGAACAGGAAACTAGAACAGGAAAAAATGTTTTGCTGACATAGTAGCCACACTGAGCTCATGCTGCAAGGGAAGAACACTAGAGTTGAATGTAGAAGAATAGGTTACGGTTCTGGCTCCATCACTAACTTGCTAGATAAGCACAGCTAAGTAAATGCCCTCTCTAAAGATATTCATTATGGTCCATTCATGTTGGATTGGAAATCTATGGAATGAGGCAGAAATTATTCTATCTGAATAGAACTATTCTATTCACTTTGGATCTTTTTAATATTTCATTTTTTTGATTAATGGAATATAAGAAAATCAAGTTAGATTTCAAGGTAAATGTATTAGCTATGATAGTCATGTCCACGATCAAATGTCACTTCACCAAAATACCTGTGTATTGATTTTATTTTGTGTTCCTACAGATTTACTACTTTTTTTGGTGAATGTAAATTTATTTCTTTAAATAAGCAGGGTATCAGATATAATATGGTAGAACTAACCAAAAATATTTTTATTTGAGAATTGCTTGGAAAAAAAATGAAATAGACAAAATGAAGGAATAAGTAAGGATTTGCTTTTAGTGTTTTCATGTCTACCTGTGTACTGGTTTTAATTCTGTTCTTTCCTTAAACAATATGCACAAGTAAGTCCTGGTAATTCAGTTCTTTAGGGAGCATATCCTCTTCCAGTTTCATGTTTGAACTATAATTTCCATCTGTTTTTTTTCCCTGTATTTAATTAGGCTTTCCAGGGTAAAGTTCTGACATATGTATGTTCTGTAAATAATGATAACATTGTGTAATGTAAATATAAACTTGCACAATTTTATGCTTGTTCTTACAGGAAAGAGGATAAAGGCAAATAAAACAGTACACTCATTTCTCATTAAATATGATAGAACATTTGCTTTGGATCAAGATGAATTTTGAACATTAACAGTCCAGTTATTAAACTATTAAATGTTTTTTCTATCATTTATTAATTTCTTTTTTTATGGAAACTCTGAACTTCACTGTGAACTGACATTACAGAATTAAAAGACTAGGAATGGCATTTTAATTATTATATAACTCACCTCTGTATGGTAATATCCTGCTTTTAAGAACATAAGGCCAGTAGGCCACATTGACTAAGGTGTTATGGTTGATCCTGTGTCCATTTCCCTGTCTGCCCTGATATCTGCTTCATCTTCATAATTAAGCTTTTTTGTGGAAAGAGGTATCTATGTGACCAAATTAAGAAAAGCAGAGGAAGTAGCCTTACATTTTTCTCTTGTGCTCGAATTGAGTCTTTTATTATTATTATTATTATTATTATTATTATTATTAATTTTTTTTGGTGAAGTTCTCTGTGACATAATAGAAAGCACACTGAACTAAGCCATGATAATTTCACTGCTAACTGTTAGTGACCATGGGACAGAACTTTATTCTGGAAGTTCCCTTCATCTTTATATTGCTCTAAGACTTGGTCTCCAGTAACAGGTCCTCTCACTACTTCTTTAAGATGGAGATTAAAGAATGAGTCCTGTAGACCTCCCCTAATATTATAAAGATTAGAGATGATAGATATCAGTACTTAGAACCATAAGACTTAAATTGTTAGTTGTTACTATCCTTACCACTGCAAAATCACTCTCACATCTCTCCTAACCTCAAGACTCATATGCGACCATCATGGCTACACTGCATATCTCATAAGTTCTTCAAATTCAATGTCTTCAAAATGAAATGCTTAATATTCTTCTCCCCACCAGACCTCCACTTTCCTCCATTCCCATTTCATCAAATGGCATCAGTTGCCCAAATTGGGAATCATTTGCAATGTCTTTGCTGCTCTCTGTCTGTCATCTTTTACATTCAGTGTATCTCCAAATGCTCTTCAACTGTCTTTTTAAATATCCACGTATATATGTCTCCATCCTATTGTCACACCTGTAGAACAAGGCATTCTTATGCTTGGATTATCAAATTGTTTCTTTCCTTCTTCTAATCTTGTGTTCCTTTAATCAATTCACACAGCAGTTGGGATGCTTTTTCTACAATTGGAAAATAGATCATATCACCCTCATGCATAAAAATACCTTTAATGGGCACCTTTTTGCTCTCTATAGTCCAAAACATTAAACACAGTTTGCAAACATTCTACTTGAAGGATGGTCAGTAGTATCAACATCCCCTGAGAGATTGTTAGAAATGCAGGCTTTTGGGTCCCTTTATAGAACTACTGAATTAACATCTGTATAATATGATTTCCAGGTAATTCAACTGCACTTTAAAATCCAAGAAATCCTGATTGACAGGGTGCATTAATGTGCCCTTAATGAACCCTTCCAGTCTCATGCTGTGCTTTCTCTCCTGTCTGGGACTCTGCTGAAGTGTTTCTTTCCAACCTATCCATTGCATTCACCATAGATGTCATATTTGAGAATGTTCTCTGAATGCTTATACTGGACTAACTGGTTCAATGATATGTTTCTCTGCCATCTCATGTTTATATGAACTGTTGTAATGAATTAGTCTGCATTGTGAGGTAAGCACTCTACCAACTGAGCCATACCCCTAGTCCCCCATTAGTCTGCATTGTAATCGGCTCTATAATCATTTGATTTTATCCCACACTAGATAGATTAAGGAGAAAATTCTGTATTGTTCTCCAGGATCTATATCCTCAGCACTCAACAGAATGCCCAGAACGCTGAGACAACCAACAAATATTTGCTAAATAAACATGACTATTGGACATTCTGTCACCTCACATATACCACTTACTACTTTATATACAATCAGAAGTAAAAGAAAACCAAATCATTAGTCATAACAAGGAAATGGTATCCTCACACACATGAGAAGAGCATTAAAAATCTGTTGAAGTCCCACCATTATGTATGACTATATTGCTCTGAAAAGACATTTAAAAAATCTATTGAAGTAAAACAAATATGACTTTGCTGTCCCTGATTACTGCTACAGATATCTCCAAATATAGAGCCAAAGTAAATACCACCCTCAAACGGTAAGAAAAACTAACCTCTTACAATTATCTGAATCTAAAATGTCCTTTAAATATTAGTGAATTTTGCTAAGATAAAGTAATCCTTAGGGATTTATCCTTGATTAGGGATCTTAAATGTTGATGATCTTTTGAATTTGCTATCTATGAAGATTTCTTCATAAAACAACAATTGTTTGTGTCATTTGTCCTACTGAATCTGGCATTGACCAGATGCGGCTCACTCACATCATGATCAAAGGAGCAAGTCACCCTCTAATTCTCCTTTTAAATATGCTTCTGTTTGTTTCTAGATTAATAGGTTTTTTTTTGGGGGGGGGCATCAAGAATGACCCTAGAATCCTAGTGTTTAAATAAAACATTTTAGAAGATTTGAATTATACTTTCTGAAGTTTTTATTCAAAATGTTGGAGATATAGTCCTGATTTAAAATACTTTCCCAGATTTTCCCGAACTATTTAGCAGAACTTGGAGCTTATTTTTGTGAGTGATTAAATTACAAGTGACAGATCTACCAGTGTAGCTCAGTGGTAGAGCACATGCTTGGACCTGGGCTCAATTCCCAACACCAAAAGAAAAATAAGTAAAAATAATTAAAATAAAAATAACCTTTTCTGGATATGCATTTATATGATCAAAAAATGAATGTTATTCTCTTTTACTTTCTTTTCTCTTACAAATCTAAAATACCTGTATTTTGTGATATTCTGCCTCAAGACATATAGACATGGCTCTAAGTACCCATTATTGAGAGACTTGTTTCTAAGGAGCAAAACTTATCATCATTAACAGAGGCAATTTACTTTTAAGTGCTTTGTTCATGGACATTTAAGGAAACTGGAGGTATTTGGATTCTAAACCACCATCGACACAGTGAAAAACAAAGAGTATGAAATCAGAAGACCCATATCGGAGTTACATTTATGGTACTGCCTAGCTTAATTTCCTTACCATAATATTTCCATAATATAGGTGGAGCATCTCTGATCTGAAAATCTGGAATTCAAAGTACTACAAAATATAAAATTTTTGAGCACCAACATGATAACACAAATAAAAAAAAATCCACACCTGACCATGAAGTTATAATGCAGGTGCACATAAAATTACCTTCAGGCAATGTATATAAAGCATATTTAAAAATAAAAGAATTTCACATTTAGACTTGGAGCCAATCCCCAAGATATCTCATTATGCATATGAAAATATTCCAAAATCTCAAATACTCCCAAATCTGAAGCCCTTGTGGTACCAAGAAATTCAGGTAAGGTGTACGCCACTGTATTTAGCAATAATGAAAAGGATCATTAAATTTGTCTGGTCTAATTCTTGTTTTTCAGAGTATTAAAAGCAATAATTTATAGGAGACATTGAAAAATCCTTAAGCTCAAGCACTATCAATAGAATCTTTCTGGAAAATATAAAAAACAAAACTTTGGTGGGTCAGTAGCAGGTGAGGGTAAAACATAATTCTATCCTCTTTAAGAATAAAAAACCAACATAGAAATGCAGGTTTTTCAAACACTAGTGGTTTCTACATATAGAAGGAATAAGACTAAGAGCAGTTGATATAAATCTTTGCAACATGAGGTAAGGAAATAAATGATAGCAGGGGTATTTTCTTGAATGTGTGAGTTAGTACCTCCCATGGTTGAAAGGCGTTGGGGTTCTGACAGTCTCGAGCTTGGCACAGATCTCGAATGGCATAGCCAAGGGCAAACACGGCAAGCTGAATACTATGTATGAGTCCTGGCTCAGTATAATGCCAGAGGAAGTCATTTCTCATGAAGAAGTTCCTTTTTACATCTTCCTTAACCTTGTAGGTTAAAGTCCCCTGAGAACGGTTGGAAATGCATTGACTCAAATCACTGTCTTTGACATGCTCACAGTCAGAAAAAAGGATGGCATATTCACGCAGAGGTTTGTTATTGTCATTAGGATACGTGTGCAGGGTTTGAAGAAAGGCATGGAAAGAGGATATATTCCCTCTTCTAAAAGTAAACCCCACAACTTTGCCAAGCTTTTTAACATTAGGAATAGTGATAATCTTGGTGGCAGTTGACCAATTATCACTAGCAATCCAGATCTTATGTATATTCCTTTCAATGGCTTTATTGAAGAGATTGAAAACATGGAATCTCCTCAGAAATACCACAATGACATTAACCTGGGCCTCGGCAATGATTTTCTCTAGTGTCTGATTGATCCTGACTTCGATGGTGTTATCAGAGAGGAAGGCTGGGAAAACCTCTTTGAAGGCTATGCACACATTATTTGCTGCAGCCTGAATTGCAAAAGTGTCCAGAGCCAATCGTCCATAGTCATCATCTGTGGTTATGATGCCAATCCAGTTCCATCCAGATTTCTGAATCAGCTGGGCCATTGCTTTAGTTTGATAGAAGTCACTGGGTACAGTCCGTAAAAATGAAGGAAAGCGAATTTTGTCACTTAGGATTTCTGCAGTTGATTCATAACTCACCTGGAAATGGACAGAATCTTTTAGTTATACTGTCAATGAAATCCAGGTGGCTGTTCGTAGGGGTGTTTTTTACTTTGATTTTTGTAAGTTTCCATAGCCTTTCCCTAAATTCTTTGGTCTTTTCTATCTTGTCCTTTCAATGAATTCCTACTCTATAAGGACACTTAGCACCGAAGAATGGGTTAGTGTCACTGCTCTCTAATAATTTCATATTGTATGTAGCATAATCCCTTCAAGACTTCAGGCTCTAAGATTTACATCTACGTCACTATATCTGCCTATATCTATATCTTTGGCCAGGGCCAACACCAAGTTATTTAAAAAGCTTAGAGGTAAATTCAGGTAAAATGTAGTCAGCCAAAGAAGCAAAATGCATTTCGGGATGTCAGCACATGCAAAATTCTATTTAATCCACAACCTTTTTTCTTTCTTTCTTTTTTTAACTATTATTTGAGGTAAAATCATCCAGTGAGGTAAACATCTAGTCCAGGGGCAAGCAAACTTTTCTGTAAAGGGGTAGAAATAAAATGTTTTGAGTTTTTTGTCAACACAGTGTCTCAGTCTTATATTCTTTGCTGTAATTTTTTTTTTTTGTTACAACCTTTTAAAGACTGTAAAAACCATTCTCAGATTGACAGCCATATTTGATATGTAATCTGTGGCTCTCTGACCTCTTATTAGGTCAAGTAAGTGTCAGAATTTTGGGAGTCCTATCTGATGTGGGTAAAGTTTTGCTTGATGATTTTATTTGCTTTGGTGATTTTATTTTAGGGAAAATTATTACCTTCTATAGCTGGAACAGCACCAGGGCACTTACCTTACTGCTTAACAGCAGCATATGGTAAAATAGTAAGAAAATGTAGGCTTTAATAAAATGTCAGAATCTTGGCTTCAATAAACTTAGGAAAATTACTAGACATTTTTTTACTTATTGTAAAAGTATAAGATTCCTCCTCCTCCTCTTCCTCCTCCTTTTTTTACTTGTATATGGATACAATGCTTTACTTTATTTTTATGTGGTGTTGAGGATCAAACCCAGTGCTTAACTCCTGCTAGGCAAGTGCTCTACCACTGAGCTACAACTCCAGCTCCAAATTATAGGATTCTTGTTAAATTTAAATGGACATTAATCACTATCAGTGGGCTCCCTTTTCTTTTGTGCTGTTTATCATGGAATTCACATTTTTTTTCTGCACCAAGTTTTTTTTTTCCCCTTAGTTATATACAAAGTATATTCACATCAATTTGTGTCTTCATACATGTACTTTGGATAATGATGACCATCACATTCCACCATCATTTCAAACCCCATACCCCCCTTTTCCCTCCCACCCCTCTGCCCTATCTAGAATTTGTCTATTCCTCCCATGCTCCCCCTCCCTACCCCACTATGAATCAGCCTCCTTATATCAGAGAAAACATTCGGCATTTTTTTTTTGGGGGGGATTGGCTAACTTCACTTAGCATTATCCATCCATTTACCTGCAAATGCCATAATTTTATTCTCTTTTATTGCTGAGTAATATGGAATTCACATTTTTACTTTTGCCAATAGTTTTGAAAGTAGTCTATTTGTCACCTATGCAGCATTGTACATTATAGGAATTTTGAGCCCAAACCTGTATCTTATATGTTTGTAGATGATTCTTTGTGTTTTGTCATTTTGCATTCAAATTTGTTATTGCCAATTTCACTAAGGTATGATATAATGGATATCTTCATTAATTATTAATAAATAAATGTATTATTTATTGTGCATTCAAAAAGTTATATATTTTGAATTATTATGCACATTCATTATAATATACACACATATACATATATATTTTATCTGCTCATTTCTATCAAATTATCACTTCTTGGTAATCTGACCGTAAGCCTTTTTCTTTCTAACTTTTGGCTTCTAATGTTCTCTGAACTTAGAAAGCACTAACCTTTCCAAGGCATTCCAAAGAACACAAAGAGAGTTCCAAAGTGTTGCAATATGAAGATAAGTGGGCTCAAAATGAAAGCCAAGGGGACTTGATTGACCTTGAGTAATGTGCAAGAGTTGATAATCTGTTTTGGTCTTTCCAAGACCTGTTTGCTTACTCCATATTATTGGCTTGCATTCCAGGGAGATAATTAGGTCTACTGACTCTACTCAGAGTCTTTCCATCATATTCAGAACAAGATGCAAATCATATCAAGATCCTACATGACCAGCCCTGCCCTTCTCTACAAATGCATCCCTTCCTATTCTTTCTGCTTAACTGCTCTAGGCACAGCGACCTTTTTGCTGTTCTTCTACTTTTGCACTTGGTACTTTCTCAACTAGATACTCTCTTCTCCTCCTCCAAATTCCTTTCTCATTTAAATTTGAATATTTAAATATCACTTCCTCTAGAAGTCTTCCATTACCCCCATAGCTCCTTACTGGGCACCCAATGGATACTATTAGGGAAGCAGGGCAGTAGAATCCCTTAGAGGTATGTGTCTTATCCAGATCAAGGTAAAATTGTCAAAAATTGACCTGACTGATATAAAAACAGCTCCCTTAGTAGTTTTCCCAGTTTATCCTAATTCTTTCATAATAACAAACATGATCCAAACTAGTGAATAGAAGTAGAACAAAATGTACCTGTGGAATGAGCTGTAGGTTCAACATTCTGGAGACTGCCATGGTTATTTCTGAGTAGCCAGCACCTATGACAGCCTTAACCCTTGGCATGTAGTTCGAATAGTCACACTGAAACTCCACAGTTTCTCTAGAGCAGTTGAACTTAGAAAGAAACCTCAGCGTGGCTGCCATTGCCGCGGTAACTTCGGTACAAGTGTCATAGATTTCATACCCCAGTTTGACTCCCGATAATAGTGTTGAATTGTTGATCATCTCAATGCTGTGTATCATGGCAAGCGTTTGAAGAAAAGCTGATACTTCAAAGCTGTTGAGAAACAAGTACTTTTGAAATCAAAACACAGTTCTCCTACAGGTATGATGAGATCCTTTTTTTTTCCCCCATCTCTGTCTATAACAGACAATTTTTGGATAAGTGAAGCTTACCTCTTGAAGGGTCTAACTTTATGTTAATTCAACTTTTAATGGAAACCTTTAAAAAGGACAATGTTGGAAACCAGAGTTTCTTAAATAGAATATAAGATACAGGATTTAATGATTTCTTGATGAATAGAGTTAAATATTCTGCAGTATAAAGTGTCTTACTTTTGTTGATTTTTGTGGCTAGGTATAAATATTTTATTGCTGTCAAAATAGTTGCTTGTTAGTCTAAACACCCAGTTTTGGGGTTTTAAATACTCATCAGTTATAGTTGGAAATTAGATGAATAAGACTCTTAAGAATTGTACTTAAGCCCTTACATCCCTTTATTCTATGTAGAGGACACCTATAAAATTTTATATGACACTTTCAAAATTGCTGGATTTGTTTTTATAGGTGTTCTATATATAGGACGATAGGTCATAATAGTTAATCAGGCACTGGATAAAAGCCTAACAGCCTTCTAGACAAAGTGCCCTGATTAAGTTCAGAGAGAGCTATTTCCACAGCCTGACAATAATAATCACAATTTGTGATTATTCCAGAGTCCTGAGTTGTTTAGTAGTGATTTCATTCACTGATACTTCATCTACAAATGATTACAAGTAGTATCTAGTACATAATAAAATTTCATTGGGTGTTTTTTAATGAAAAAAGAGATGTTATTGTTTAAAATTTTGATATTCTAAAGTTTTTATATTATAACTTATAACAAAGTTTCTCTATTGTTATAAGTTATAATAAGTTAAACATTTTAGGCCTTACTGTTTGTCATTGTGGACTATCTAAACATGAGGTTTAGAAAATCAGCATTATAATTTTTACTTAGAAAAAGAAACAAGGAGGAGAGAAAGAATAATAAAAGATTGTGTGATAATTAAATTGCTTAGTATTTTCAGAGTTCCCTACATGAGTTGAACCTCTTTGATATTTTACCTTGGTATCTATCCCTAGTGCCTAGAACAGAACCTAGGCAATGTACATACACTTAATAAGTAGCGGTTCAGTGTTTAAGGAGAACTGGTACTCTTGATGAATGACAATATGGTAGAAGATTTTTAATTCAGGGATTTTTCTTTCCCCCAGATCACTTTTTTCAGATCAAATGACTCTTTAGTGTTCTCCATTAATTGTCATCCTACAATTGTGAGCCTCTGACTGTAGTCATTCTTTGGTTGCCAATGAACAGCTCTGGAAATCTTCATGAATTATTTTGTTCCATTCCCTGGAATTCCTGCTTGTCAGTTGTGATGACAATAACAGAGTACCCAAATTTCTGGAGAGAATGTCGGGAAGGAATCTTAGAGTGACATGGGATCACATTTATCTGAAAGCATTCTTTGAGGGCTTGGTCAGTACTTACAAATAAAAAAAAAAAAAACAAGCAGAAAAAAAAGAGAAGATTAAACTTACATCAAGACAGAATCAGAATTTTATAGTTAACTGAGAATTTTATAGTTAAAGAAATGATGGTTTCTTTAACTATATTGGTTGTCATAACAATCCTAACTGGTGTTACCTGGCCCTCAGAGGTTACCAGGCTCTTATTTTACAGATGAGAAAATAGAAACAGGAAGTCAAAGAGTTTAAGTGATTTGCCTAAATTCACAAAATTATTTTATACTAAAACTGAAACTAGAACTCAACTATCCTGGTCTCCTTAAAGAAAATGCACCTGTAGCACCCTCCACTAAGCTTTGCTTTTACACATTGTACTGTATTGAATGTCATTTCAGTAACTAAGCTTCACAATATAACCTGCTCATCAAGAAAAAAGTGACAACTTAAGGAGGGTCATAATTTATCATGGAAGAATTAGATTATTTCAAGAATTAAATGAACACAGTGCTGACAAAAATGTTAGTGTGAGAAAAATGTAAACATAGTCTATTTTAAATAAAACATTAAATAATAAATCCATGTACTAAACAGAGTATAAGCTGTGGGTGATAGGTATACAAATGTGCTGTGTTCACTTGTGGTGAAGTAGAGACTACAATGTCTTTTCAAGGACCTCAGGGATTATTTTTTAAAAGCACAATCCAAGAAATGCATTAATGCAAAGCATTTGTTGCCTCTGCACTTGGATATTGTTTGATTACAAGCAGAGGGCCAATAAACCTCTCTTTCAAGCCAATATTGCAAGACTAACCACGTGCAATTTGAAAACATATATATGAGTTCGAATGATATTAAAATAATTCAGATGTTAGTGTAAGCAAAGAGATGACATGATCTGGTCTCCTGGCATGATCTTGAAACCTGTGCTTTTTGAAGATTTACTCACCCAACACACTTCTGGAATTGTGGTCGTCTGGGCTGATCTTCTGAGGACAACATTTTTTCATGAATGGCGAACAAACCTCCAATCATGATATGTCCTGGAGAAGTGACAGCCACAAAGTCATCAGGAGTTTGACAAGGTTGGGAAGGAGCAAGAATAGCCATGAAGCAGGTAATTAGTATCATTAATAATGCCATGATGCTATCTCATTTGCTCAGTCCATGAGAGTTTTTAGGAATCATTAAGCTCACAGAGTGCCAACAGCTTGGTTCCCACGTCACTAATAAACACCTTGCAAGGTATAAGACACTATCAAGGCCAGAAGCATTCAATACTCAGGTACTTGATGATAGTAAAAACAGTTCTTGCACCAATAAGAACATATTGGACTCTAACAGTCTCCAATGTTGGAGACACATGATAGCAGACATGTGATAGCTAGGTAAAAGCTGATATAATCATAAACAAAGGTTTCTCTGTAATGGTATTTTTTTTTCTGCATTGATATGTCAAGGGATATGAGTCATATTGGCATTTCTTTTCAGGCAGGATAAGAATCTTCTGGAAGAAGCATTTTGGGAAAGTTTTCCCGCTTAAAAAATGGACAGCTCTGCACTTCCAAAGGCATCATAGTCAAAGCACAAAGGACTCAGTTTATCAGCTGTTTAGGAAAAAAAAATACCCTGCTTTTATTTTTTTTTCTCTATTTAAAATAATGAAATTAAACTGAATTTAGGTTTTTATCACTTCTTGTTTACATGTGTTGGAGATAAATAGCTTTTGTGGTGATGGGCTTGTCTGATAGTGTTTTGCTTTGAACAAGAAAGATCTGTCATTGACATTTTCAACATTGTACAATTTTGTTTTTATAAATTTGTGACTAATTTCAAGCTACAGGTTCTGAATGCTTAGGAATCTGAACCAAAATGATTTGATGGATATCTTTTGGAATTTAACAGAAAATAGATAAACCTTGGTAATTTAGGTACTATTGAGATAAATGTTTAAAGTTCTTAAATTTATTCTTCAAAATCAATCTTTTAAAAATATTTGCTTAAAAGAAATATCTCCTGGGAAAGCAATACAGCTAATTTACTTGATCGGTAGCAGAGACATTTAAATGAATTTAAAAAAATAAAAAAGCACTTTGGCCATTATGGCATATTTTGTCATCCAAATTAGCCTTAGGTTCCACAGAGGTTCCAAATGAGGAATGAGAAGTCCTGTGTCATCACATAGCAGCCAGTGTTTCCTGAATCTTATGATTTTTACCAATATCAGGATTTCTTAAGAGATGCAAACTAAGTAACTTCACTTTTCCAGAAATATTCATGAGACTGAAGTTTTTCAGATGTTTATTCATCTAAATCTTATTATTTTACTCAGTTTTTTTGGTTGGGGGGGAACCAGGGATTGAACTCAGGGGGGGCACTCGGCCACTGAGCCACATGCCCAGCCCTATTTTGTATTTTACTTAAAGACAGGGTCTCACTGGGTTGCTTAGCACCTGCTTTTGCTGAAGCTGGCTTTGAACTCCTGATTCTGCTGCCTCTGCCTTCAGAGCCACTGGATGATAAGAGTGTTCCACTTTGCCTGGCTATTTTACTCATTTTGATCTTATTATTTTACTCATATTAATCATCTTATTTGTTCATGTATGTTTGTATGTATGTTTGCATCTCTGCATACAATTGGGAGGACTTAGATTTTCATGAATTGAGTTATTTTGCTCAAATAACCTCAAAGATATCAAAAAACTATATGTTCAAAGACGATTTTGCTAAAGTGTACTAAAATGCAAGAGATTTATATAATTTTCCAGCAATAGTATAGAATAGATATTAAGCAACTCAAAATGATTATGGCCATATGTTTTTCAGTTCTGACATTTATTTGACAAATCAGTGATAAAAAGTTATAACAATGATTTCTCTTAAGTTTTAATATTTTTAGGGTCTTTGTAATCTGGCCAAACATAAAGATGAAGCACATTTTCTTATTTTAATAAATATAATCTAAGTTTGAAGATTTATTTCTGTAAAGGACCCTCTGAAGTTAGGAAAACAGAAGCTTTCAAAAGTACTTCACCCAGTAAAATGCAACTTCATGTGGCAGAGAGGGCTCAGTCTTTGGAAGCTGACAAGATCTGGGTAGCTCTGCTCATCACTGAGCTATATGACAGGGAATGAGTTACGCAACTTCTCTGAACAATGGTTTTCTCATCCATGATAGTTAAGATGTTCTATCGAATGGGTCTGTTATGTAACTTGAGTTAGTCAATGGCTAAAGTTCCTAGACTCAATAATTAGCTCCTAAATTCCCTTTCCTCAATCAAACTGGAATTTATTAATTCCTAAATTTGAAGTGCTTTCCACAGCTGGCTAAATCATTGTTCAGAGATTTTTCTCAAACATCTTAAATGTATGTCTAGTAGATATGATGATTTTTATAACAGTACCACTACCTGGTTTGTCTCCCTAGAATGAAATCCATTATTGAGTTAAGCTTGAAGGAAGATATAAAATATATATTAATTACTTCAGAATTTTATTGGATACATTATTGCATCTGCTGTAGCTTCTATTGTTATCAAAGTTTAATTCTGGGACAGAACATTCAGTCATAAGTTGTTTTTTTTTTTTTTTTTTAATGGTCCTGGGGATTGAAACCAAGGCCTTGTGCATGCAAGGCAAGCACTCTACCAACTGAGCTATATACCCAGCCCCTCAGCCATCTACAGTTAACAGATTCTAAATTATATTTTCTCTTATTTAAAAACATTCATAAATGACAACCATTATTTCTAAAGATTACGATTTTTCCTTTAAACTACTGTTTTTGAAGGCTAAAACCTCTTAACGAAAATTTGAGATATGAATACCGGTGAGACTAGCTTGATTGTTCCTTTGATTTTCTTCTTTGTAATGATCTTTATGTGAAGAGATAACTGATTAATATTACTTAAAGAAAATAGTATAGAAGTGATAGCACTACTCAAGTTATTTTCATAAAGAAATCATTGCCCAGGGGCTGCGGGTATTGCTCAGTTGGTAGAGTGCTTGCCTCCTATGCACAAGGCCCTGGGTTCAATCCCCAGCACCACCAAAAAAAGAAAAGAAGAAAGAAATCATTGCCCAGCTTGGACAAGTGTAACAGGGAAGAATCATCTACCATTAAGGATACTTAATTCTGAGTCTATAATATTGAAGATGGGATGACTTCATCCTTAATGATAAGACCGAGGTGAAGGTTGGCTCAGGCTGGAAATGGCTTTCTGGGATCAGAGGTTTTGAATATAGCATCAGCACTCAAGACAGCTTTCAAGCAAGTGAAGTTTGACCCCTGTCTCCTTTGAGCTCTTCAGTTTTCCCTCTGGCCATGGTAGCTTCCCACTCACTTTCCATATCCCCACACTTTCATTTCATTCTTCATTGAACTTCATACAAATGATGACACCATACATGGTTTTTAGTGCTATTTGCAATTGAAATAAGCTTTAAAATTTTTTTCAAGATTAGAGAAATAAATTTAAAACAATTGAATTTTAGTTATCCGGGAAGGTGTGGGAGGGATGGTATGACAAGGCTCATGGGGAATCTATGGAGGTCCTGACAGGCAGCTGACTCCTCTGCCCACACACAGAGCCAGCCTGATGGAACAGGTCAGAGTGCCCGTGCAGAATGAAGGAAGTAGTCAACAATGACATGAAGGCAGATGCCAAGATCTACAGTGTGTGTGTGTGTGGGGGGGGCGGGGAGTGATACAGGAATAAACAGAGCTCAAGGATGAGTTCTGACCTATTGTTCCTAATCTCCTTCATTCCTTCTGCCCACCTCCCACTCCCAATAGCATAGATGAAAATATATTTAGCCCAAACAAGCAGGTATTCAAAACGCAATGCCACAACTGCATTTTATTTGATCAACATTACATTTGAATATATTTTTCTGTTCGTGATGTACTTTTCTTCCACACTAATCCCTTATTATGAAGTGACAACAGAAGAGATGGTGAGAGTACAACCTTAAGTTCTGAGCCATGATTAGGCACTTTCCACTTACACCTCTAGTGTTAATGTCTTACGAGTTTATTTTAATCCTCCTATTATTTCCTAATTTTTCATGTACTATTGCCTCTTCAACTAGATTGAAGCTTTTGAAACCTGAGTTTTATACTTTGCACATCTCATAGTTCATTGTTTTGAAAGTACAACTAGTTTTGTGATATATTACAAATATCTGGGTCAGTTTCATCATGATAATAAGTCATCAATAAGCTAATTGTAGATAGAGGAGTCCAGTCAACTATTCAAATTACAGTTCTCACTAGATATGATCAGCAGCATTCAGCCTATTGCTATTTATCATTCACCCACAAAAATAAAACTGTCAACGTCTATTGCTTAATCAGAGTTAAGTGTGGTTAGAAGAACTCAGAAGGATATCACTGTGCAAAGTTCAATAAAGCTTCTGCTTGAGGAAAAATTATAAGTCAAAGGCTGAAATCCTTAATAGTGTGCATATAGCTGAGAAATTAATTTCATTTAGTTGGATTTCAAATTATAAAAATGAGCAGGTATGATCCTTAAAAAGGTCATAAAATAATTGAGTCAGATTTTGTCCTATTGCATCTTTCCCAGTTAGGTACACTGTTCCCTTGTCCTTATGTGCCTGACTCAGTATTCCATCCCTGGGCTCTTTGTAAAGAATCATTGTATATCTGGCAACATTTCTGCTCCCAGCATGCTCCATCTTCCTGTCTTGTGGTACCTATTTATAATTGAAATTTTCTTTATGGTACTTTCTATTTAATATCTTTTTTTTTTTGGTGGTGCTGGGGCCTGAACCCAGGGCCTTGTGCATCTGAGGCAAGCACTCTACTAATTGAGCTACATCCCCAGCTCCTTAATATGTACCTTTAAAATTATGTAATTAATATCATTTCATGTGCAACATAGGGGATTTTTTTCTATTTAGGGCACCATGCAAGATATATTGGTGGGATTCATGGATGTCTGTACATCCCTTGAAATCATATACAATTTTTGAGTGAACATGCATATTTTGATTTTTCAGAAGACAGCATTCAGTGCTTTTATCAGATTATCCAAAGAGTTCTGTTAAATTCAGAAAAGCAAAGAACCACTGTTTTATTGGAACAGCTTTGAGCCCTGCTTCCCAGGGAACACAGGAATGTTTTTGAGATAGTGATCCTGCCTTTGTTGTTCTCCATTTGTGA